GTGGTGGCACACACCTGTAGTCTGTAGTCCTAGCTACTCGGGAGGCTAGGTTGAGGCAGGAGAATCCCGTGTATCTGAGAGGCGGAGGTTGCAGTGAGCTGAGATCGTGTCATTGCACTCCAGCCTAGGCAAAAGAGCAAGACTTCATTTCTAAAAAAAGACAAGAAAAGAAAGAAAGAAAAGAAACTGGTTCTGGTTTCACCATAGTGGAACTCCCGACCTCAGGTGATCTGCCACCTCGGCCCCCCAAAGTGCTGGGATTACAGGCATGAGCCATCGCACCTGGCCAGACATTGACATCTTTAAAAGATATCTGGGCCAAAAAAAAGAAAAAAAAAGTGGGGGGGAAGCACAATCCCTCTTCCCCCTATAGAAGGAAACAGTCAAGCTAAAGCTAATACCTGCATGTGTAGGCCTCAGTCTTCCTTATTTCTTTCTACAAAGCTGTCACATAGTATCAATCTCCCCACATTTCAAATGTAGAATCAGTTACAGCATGAAGAAAACAAAAAATAAGAACTGCTTCAGCCAGAGACTCTAGAAACAAGACCATTTTCATAGCATCTCCCGTTGCAAATGCAGACAGACTTCAGTCACCGGCCCAGAGACTGAACTGGCGGGGTAGGTAAGCAATATGACTCAAAAATATGCATAGTTTTTAGGAAGAAGGAGCTGATTTACCTGCTTATTCAAGTTAAAGAACCACAGATCAACAGAAAGAAACAATTCCCGATTTTGTCATAAATGCTAACCTACAAAGTAGTTTCCTCAAAGAAAATACCTTACAGAGCAGAGTGGTCCACTAATGGGGGGAGAAAGCCCCATTAGTGGACAGACAACTGGATCTGCTATCCCTGGTATTAAAACAAAGGGAGATTCAGAAGGCTGAGCCAGGTGAATCACTTGAGGTCAGGAGTCCGAGACCAGCCTGGCCAATGTGGTGAAACTTAATCTCTACTAAAAATACAAAAATTAAAGCAGCAGCTGCATTGCCACAGTTCTATCTTCACCTTCACGATGTTTCACTTGGTCAAAAACGCACTAAGTCATCTCCAAGTTCGAAGCATTCAGCAAACAATGGCAAGGCAGAGCCACCAGAAACGTATGCCTGATTTTTATGACAAATATGATAATGCTGTATTAGCTAGTGAAGCCACTTTCTGTATTGCTATATGGACATATATAGCAACACAAATCAGAATAGAATGGAACCTGTCCTCTGTTGGTAGAGTCACCCCAAAGGAATGAAGAGATCAGTAATCATCTCAGCTGGTGTAATAATGAATTAAAACAGCTAATAATTGATGCCAAGTTAAAGTACTATATACCCATTAAGATATAGCATTAATGAAGAAATAAAATACATTTGAAACTTAAAAAACAAAAAAATACAAAAATTAGCCAGGTGTGGTGACATGTGCCTTTAGTCCCAGCTGCTCAGGAGGCTGAGGCAGAAGAATCACTTGAACTTGGGAGGCAGAGGTTGCAGTGAGCAGAGATCGCACCACTGCACTCCAGCCTGGGCAACAGAGCAAGACTCTGCTTCAAAAAAAAGGTGGGGGGAGGGGAAAGCTAAGCAGCCCCAACAAAGAGGTGAAGTCAGCTAACCAGAGACGGCTTTCAAACAAAGATTCCCTGAAAGTAGAAACCCATCTTTTACTGTCTTTTACAACAACATGGACTGAGGGTTTAACATAACTACTAACTGCTGCTGCATTCACACTAAATAATGCTTAATCTCCACTGCTGAAGAACCATTGCAGGTGAGAAGAGCTAAATAATATGGCATTACCTGCCCTATTTTCCAAGTGCCAACAGACTCCTTTAAGAAACTAAAGTTATTTAGTTCTGATTCAATCATGCCAGACTCCTCAGTGTCAGCAGCTGCCACTTCCACACTCTGGCTAGAATCCCCACCCACCAGCCTGCTCTGCACTTAGCCTCAGCAAAATATCCAAGAATATTAAGAGTGGCAAGAAAATCAGACCAAGCCTTCTAAAGATGAATCTACAAGGTGTGACTTCACTGTATCCCCTGCCTCCTCCTGGCAGCACCAACAAGACATGAGTGACATTTACAGGAAATAAAGGAGGTGCCTTGCCAGCAGAACTGCTCCTCACAGTGCCGTTAAGCTGGTGGCCACTGCTACAGATAAACCTAAGGTACAGCAGAAAATACCAGGGAAAGAGTGAAAAGAGAGACTAGCATTGTCCCTACCACACCCACAAGTACTCCACTGAATCGTGATAAAGCAGAAACTGACCATCAGCTCTAATTCAAGCCTAATCTTTTCTTTTTTCTTGAGATGGAGTCCTGCTCTGTCACCCAGGCTGGAGTGCAGTGGCGTAATCTTGGCTCACAGCAACCTCTGCCTCCCAGGTTCAAGCTATTCTCCTGCCTCTGCCTCCTGAGTAGCTGGGATTACAGGCACATGCCACCATGCTCAGCTAATTTTTTTATTTCTAGTAGAGACAGAGTTTCACCATGTTGGTCAGGCTGGTCTTGAACTCCTGACCTCATTATCCTCCCACCTCAGCTCCCAAAGTGCTAGGATTACAGACATGAGCCACCACGCCCGGCCACCTAATCATTTTCGAAACAATTATTTCAAAGAGTTTCAGACTCATCCCACACACAAACACAAAACCTTATAGAGACAGGTGCCTACCACGATTAACCTGCACCATCCTGCCTCCTCCTGGTACCTCTATTTCAGCACCTACTTCATTTGACCTTGAAGTAGGTCTTTTGTTTTAATCCACGACGCCAGGCTCTGAGCTCTGCAAGTATTCGATCTAAAGAGTAGATTACTAAGCCTTCATTGCCTTCACCAATACACTTTCCCACTCCTCTAAGAGGCAATAATTATCTTCATCTCCAAATCAGGCAAAGATCTGAGCGCCTATAAAGGCTAGCTTTACCTTCACAATCTAGGTGGCCAGTAGTAACACCCAGCCTGTCCCCCTAACTTTCCATTTCAGGATTGCCCCTCTCCCATACCCTCTCCTCCCTCTTCCAGTTAGTCCCAAAAACCAATCAGTGTGCAACACAATACAGGCCTTCGGACCCGAGAACCTCAGGAAAACAGGTTTTGGCAGAAATTTCCATTCATTTTCATGTCCTTCAATTAACTAAATTTCACTGGACAGAATATGGAGCTTCAGAACCAATATATCAGTGTAGCAAATGACTGTTTTAGAAACTACCATAGCCTCAAGACTCTACCTCCTATAATTTTAGCTTATAGAGGAAGCACAATTGAAAAGACCTTTTTTTTTTTTTTAAAGAGACAGGGTCTCATTCTACTGCCCATGCTGGAGCACAATGGCACTATCACAGCTTGCTGCAGCCCTCAAATTCCTAAACTCAAGGGATCTTCCCACCTCAGCCATGCGAGTAGCTAGGACAACAGGCACATGCCACCACATTCCTCTAATTATTTTTTCATAGTGAGATGAGGTCTCACTACGTTGCCCAGGCTGGTCTCAAATTCCTGGCCTCAAGTGATCCTCCTGCCTCAGGCTCCCAAATTGCTGGAATTACAGGCAGGAGCCATTGTGTCTGGCCTGAAAATACTTTTCTAAAAAGTTCCAGCCAGGCACGGTGGCTCACACCTATAATCCCAACACTTTGGGAGGCCAAGGTGGGCAGATCACATGAGACCAGCCCGGCCAACATAATGAAAACCCATCTCTACTAAAAATACAAAATTTAGCTAGGTGTGGTGCACATCTGTACTCCCAGCTACTTGGGAGAGGCAGGAGAATTGCTTAGGAGATGGAGGTTGCAGTGAGCCTAGCTGGGGCCACTGCACTCCAGCCTGGGCCACAGAGCAAGCCTCTGTCTCAAAAAAGGAACAAGAAGGCAGGGTGTGGTGGCTCATGTCTGTAATCCCAGCACTTTGGGAGGCTGAGGTGGGCAGATTACCTGAGGCCAGGAGTTTGAGAGCTGCCTGACCAACATGGAGAAACCCCATCTCTACCAAAAATACAAAAAAATTAGCTGGGCATGGTGGTGCATGCCTGTAATCTCAGCTATTCAGGAGGCTGAGATAGGAGAATCACTTGAACCCAGGAGGCGAAGGTTGCAGTGAGCCAAGATCTCACATTGCACTCCAGCCTAGGCAACAAGAGCAAAACTCCATCTCAAAAAAAAAAAAAGGAAAAGAAAAAAAATCATTCTCAGACAAAACTTGGCCAGCCTATGGTCCAGCAGTTAACAGAGTATTAAATAAATACCTGAATAACTTCATCAAATGAAAAGTCAGTCTGGCCTAACAGTCAACCTTACAGTGATATCAAGAGGCCTGACTTCCCTAAACATTCACTTCAGAGATCATGGAGACCGCACACACCCTGGTAGAATGTGCTTACAATGGTATCACTGGGACCCAGACTCTGTTCTCCAGGTGCCAGGATTCTGACTATACATATTATCCTCATAACTCTTTGCCTGCCTTGTAGGCAAAATGAGCCTCTATTGGTCAAGTTGCTAACCTGTCTCTTCACATGTTCAACTCTGACAAATGCAACCCAATTCAGTGCTCTAAATCCCAGTTTCCACTAGCAACTCCAATGTCGCAACTCCAAGACCACCTTCAATCACCTTGCATCCACAAAGCACATTTTTAAAGGTTTGTTGGTGTTCATTTAATTTCTAGGCTATTCACAAATATTCAGGCTATCTCATCAATTATATTAGGAACTCTTAGATAGCAAGTATCTGCGTACTTCCCAGGCAGAGTGACAGATGAACTGTGACTGTTTTAGAAAACAATGACGGAAATTCAGGGGGTGAAAAAATCAAACCACCTTTTTAATCCAGTTTTCTTTGCACTTACAATTTCTTCCCAACTCCTGACACAGCGATTAAACTTGAAGCGAGAGGATACCTAGGCAGTAAATAAATGCTGAAAAGATACTATCAAGCTCTAATATTACAAATTTTTCCTTCCCCCCACTAAGTCATAAGTAAAAACAACTACAACTCAAATGCCTTACCATCCTTGTTAACAGCAGTGACTTTGGCCGGGTAAAAACGACAATCAGACCAGCAAGCAAGGACCTGCTCATTTATTTGAAATTCCTAAAAAACATAAAAAAAAAAAAAAAAAGATCCTGTTACCAACCTAGTTTCATAAAACACACTGTACCAGATCTCATAAAAAAGGCTGGGATTGATAAGACAGTGAGAAGGGAAAGTAGCTATTGGGATGGAGGAAGATGTTTCTCTTGTTTCAACACTAGGAGTTGCTATAGTTTCAGTGTCATTTGTCCTCGCCAAAAGTTGACGTGTTCAGTGCAGCAGTGTTGGAGATGGGGCCTATGAGAGCTGTTTGGGTCATGGTAGCAGATCCTTCATGAATAGATTAATGTTGTCTTACATGAGTGACTCTTCGCTCTCATGGAAATGGATTCATTCTCAAGAAAGCAAGTTGTTACAAAGCAAAGCTCCTCCTCCTGTTTGGTTCCTTTCTTCACATTTGTCTCCCTCTTTGACCTTCCATCATGTATGACACAGCATGAAAGCCGATGCCAGAAGCCAGTACCATGCCCTTGAAGTTCCCAGCCTGCAGAATTATGAGCTAAACAAACTCTTTTCTTTATAAATTACCCAGTCTCAGATATTTTATTATGGCAACATAAAAAAGACTAAGGAGTCAAAACAAAAGGGCTGGGACACAAGACCTCAACAAGCCCAAGAGGTCTGGGCAGGCACAGCACAGCACTGATGATAATTCCACTCTAACCAACATACACTCTGAAAATGAGTCTAAGAGGCCAGGACTACTAGAATACACATCCAGTATAAGAATTAGAAGATATGAGGCAGGGAAGCGGCATTTAATGCCACTTAATGCCACCTACACTTCTTTCTTTTTCTTTTTCTTTTTTGAGACGGGAGTCTCACTCTGTCACCCAGGCTGAAGTGCAATAACGTGGTCTCAGCTCACTGCAACCTCTGCCTCCGGGGTTCAAGCAATTTTCCTGCCTCGGCCTCCTGAGTAGCTGGGATTACAGGCACCTGCCACGACGCCCAGCTAATTTTTGTAATTTTAGTAGAGACAGGGTTTCACCATGTTAGTCAGGCTGGTCTCGAACTCCTGACCTCGTGATCTCCCCACCTTGGCCTCCCAAAGTGCTGGGATCACAGGTGTGAGCCATGACGCCTGCCCCACCTACACTTCTAAAGGGTCTTTTGCCAGGGAAAGCAACCACTCACCTTTAATATTTTATACTATTTTCCCAGCAGTTTGCACTGATAAATTTTATACAATGGGCCAGGTGCAGTGGCTCACACCTGTAATCTCAGCACTTTGGGAGGCAGAGGCGGGTGGATTAGCTGAGGTCAGGAGTTCAAGACCAGCCTGGCCAACAGGATGAAACCCTGTCCCTATTAAAAATACAAAAATTAGCTGGGCATGGTAGCAGGTATCTGTAATCCCAGCTTCTCAGGAGGCTGAGGCAGGAGAATCACTTGAACCTGGGAGTGGAGGTTGCAGTGTGCCAAGATCGCGCCATTGCACTCTAGACTGGGTGACACAGTAAGATCCCATCTCAAAACAACAACAACAATAACAACAAAAATTTGTAGAACAAACACTGAAAAGTCATATGGAACAATACTAAATAATCCTTAACTGGGAAAAGAAAAAGGCCAGCAACAGTTCAAGTTCCCTAATCAGGGTTAAAATAAAAAATAGGCAGGGTACAGTGGCTCACGCCTATAATTCCAGCACTCTGGAAGGCCAAGGAAGGTGGATCGCCTGAGGTCAGGAGTTTAAGACAAGCCTGGCCAACATGGTGAAATCCGGTCTCTACCAAAAGTACAAAAATTAGCCAGGCGTGGTTCTATGCGCCTGTAGTCCTAGCTACTCAGAAGGCTGAGGCTTGAGAATCCCTTGAACCTGGAAAACAGAGGATGCAGTGAGCCAAAATCACACCACTGCACTCCAGCCTGGACGACAGAGTGAGACTGCCTCAAAAAAAAAGAAAGAAGAAAGGAAGAAAGGAAGAAAAGAAAAGAAAAAAAGGAAGGAAGGAAGGAAGGAAGGAAGGAAGGAAGGAAGGAAGGAAGGAAGGAAGGAAGGA